TACAATCAAGAAAGCCAAGCGCTGTGGTCTTCAGTCGGCGGAAGTTGGAATTGGAGGTTGATCAAGACGATGAACACTTCTACGGCATAAAGGATTGTAAGCCTGCTTTATGAACTGCTTAACTTAATCTTTAACCTAAGTAAATTAGACAATGTAAAACTAATTAAATAATAGTTAAAATGGGTAACTGCTTGTTGTTACATTTTTGTTGCGTGCCATATATCGTACTCGGGAGTCTATTTTCATACATGCTTTGTTAGCGGACATTTGTTGGTCATTCGTGCACGTAACAATCAGTACAATCGAATATAACTCCTGAAGCCTTTGAAGAAATAATATACAAATCTCTTTTGATAAGCCGGCAATTAAGCTAGTTCTAACTAAAGGTTGTATTTGAATGTGGCAAAAACTTAAAAAAAAAAAATAATAAATAAAAAAAATAAGTTCCGCTTTAATCTGTAGCTCACCTTCCAATTACTTTAATTCCACTGGGAAGGATGTCTAGTACAAATAAAGTCCCACCACCTAACATGAGGTAAAAATCAATTTTACAAAAATCGAAGGTATTTTAATATGCTTCCTTTACACACATTTAACACAGAAGTAAATTCCTGAAGAAAGATTTACCTCCCAGCTGTAATATTCACTCTTCACATATTGTAAGCAATGTACCAAAGTTTTATTTACCTGCTATTCCATAATGTTGCGAAGTTGCACAAAGGAATCTTTGACCGAAGTATGGCGAAAACTTAACTGCATATCCATGGCGTCCACGTGTATAAAATGTCACAGCCATGACTTGACACAAAGTTTCCCAAAAAAAGATGAAATTACATGGTGTATATTTATATCTAAAAATTATAGTTCCCTGATCGAATCATACTTTCGACCGTACCAGAAAAGTGTGTTTCAACTTACAGTTAATGATTTTTTGCAGCAGACATCGCATCCAGAGCTGAATAGGCTGTGTAAGCGTCATGGAAAATGACCGGACATTTTTCTTTGGAATACATGACAAACCACATGACATACAAACTGTACCCTGGGCTGTTTTAAAAATTGTCAGCTTTCTTGATACAGAACTGAGATTGCTACCAAAGGATGTCGGTGAAATTTCGTGGGGAGATCCATGCGCAGTGACGTAGTTTGTCAGTCAATGATAAAAAGCAAACAAGCAAACAAACAAACCGACAAACAAAAGAAATAAATAGATGACGAGCACAAGAGGATTTTGGCATTTTATTGTGTAGAAAAATACATGATGACAAAGGCGAAAAAAAAAAAAAAAGCAAAAAAAAAAAACCCAGTTTCCTGTTCCCAGTCTCAGTAAGCCTCTTTCTTCACAGTGTTAAAATGTATATCGATGCCCCTGTGAGGATCTTATTTTGTACCAAAATCAATATATGATATACGGTACAGGCAAAAGGAAACGTGAAATGTTTCTTTCATGTATCAGCACAGCCACGAACACTTTTAACCTTTGTTAATTAATCTAACGTACCAATGAATGCCGCGTCTGGTTTAAAGCAAACCTAAAGCGAAAGCAATGTATTTATGATAAATGGGTCCACAGAGCACAGAGGCAAAAATTCGTGATACCTGGTGTGTAACATTGTGCCAATGTACACACTTGATAGCTTCTTCGAGCTCTGTCCTAATCGTGGTGGTTAACAAACCCTGGTAAACGAGCCTGTCCGCCACTACCACATATGCTAATATTTCTCGTTGATATGGCTTCTATCCGAGTTCTTTGTATTACTTCATTTTCTTAACTGGAAACGCCCCATTGCATTCTCGGTCAGACAAACGTCCTTACCCTATCCCCCAACCCAGTGTTTAAAAACTCTTCACACCGACAATTAATACCAATATAACATTGAATTTCGAGATGGTCGACTGGTAATCGTGGGCGCCCAACGAGTGCAGGTGATGTCACAGAGGTCGCGGGTTCGAATCACTTTATAGAAGTTATTCTCGATCAGGCTTGCGGACCAAACAACTTCTCCCCGAGTATGATTTGGAGCTAGCGGACAAGGAGTAACTCTCAAACTGGCTTGGGGACCGAGTAACTTCTCCCCGTGAAATTCTTTTTCGTTTTTGTTGTTGCTGGTTTCTTTTTTCAATTTTTTTCTCCTTATTATCATGGTCTTTTTCCTTTTCTTTTTCCTTTTTCATCTTTTTTTCTGAGAAGTTATCTTTTTGAGCCACTATGGTATTTTTCTGGTATGCTTTTCGTATTTAATTTTATAGTGATATTGTTAAAAAGGGTTAAATTGATGGGGAAAATGTGGCTGAATTCTTCTTATGATTTGCTTTTGATAACACAAGCAAATGTAGGGTGGGCAAAAATAATAGATAACGCGTAAAATTTTGAAATAATTCTTGTTTACGCATCTGTTTCTATTGTTAGGCTTGCCTTTTCGTTGATTGAGTATTGTAATGTCACTTAATTCCTCCTACAGGTGCTATTCAGCCTCCCACAAGTGATATTTCCTCGTTATATTTTTTTTCGATTTTTACAACTTGGGCTTGCAGGAACGGAATCGTACGTTTCGTACTTTCTCTTTGTTGGCGTTCTTTCTATACAGCGGACTGTAATTTTCGCGACTTTTCGTCGCCCCGGAGTTTGCATTTCCAACACCAGTTTGTTTCTGGTCTGTAAGTTTGGAAATATTTTCCAACGTGGTCAAACACCGATTAGGGATAAGTCAGTATTTGCTAGCTTAGAGCTGTGTCCCCAAGACGAAGGACACGAACATCGATTGTTATATATGATGTTCAGCAAGCACTCACACGAGGAAAAGAAGGAATTAGAGTTAATCCGGTCAGGTTGGTGCGGAGTCAGCATTGACGATACATTACTACACATAAATTGGAAAACATTTGTAGCTTCTTTTCCCCAAGAAAGGCCCCCGGTTATGACAATATTTCTATGCGTGTGATTCGAAATCCTTTGTGATTGCTAAAGGTTTACCCAGACAGACACCTTCAGCTGCCACTGCTTTCCTAATTAATAATTGGGGAATTTCAGTTCCATCCTGTTTCCTCTTCAGCGATACGCAAGATCGAACATTCCTTTCCCTCCAAATAAGGCGCTTGGGCTCGACAAGATCCCGTTAAAAAGGATGCCCTGCCTTACATTTTTTTCACTTTGAAAGATGTTCTTCTTTATCAAATAAGCAGTTGGCACTCAACGCTGAAGGAGGGGTACCATGAGTATCAAACAACAATCGCCTCATGCCCCTATTACCTGCATACCTGCATTTTGCAAAGTATGTGAACGTGCAGCTTTTAACCAGCTTATTGGAGCGAAAGAAACTCTTGGCCCAACCTCAGAGTTGAAACAAAAATCAAACATTCAACAGAAACATTAAAAATCCTTATCACAGACATGATTCTTGACACCGTGGACAAAAAAAGAAATGACTGCCCCTGACAGTTGAGGCCATTGACTGGTTTGAGAGAATCAGATGCTAATTAAAGAGATGCTGCCCGAGTCGCGGCCCCATGCGATTCCCTATGCTAATCTAACAAATGATTGCCACGTCTTGCACAAAGTGAACATAAAGTAAAAGAAATGTATCTTTAAAATATGTCAAGGTAAAAATGCTTGACACCAGGCGTCTGACATTGTGCCAAGAGTACACACTTAATATACCTTCCTAAAGAAGCGTACCATTCGTCGTATTTAACGAGCCCCAGTAAACAAGGCTGTCCGCCCTTACCACTTATGTTAATGTTTCTCGTGGATATCAATAATCAATTTGCGAATTACCCTTGGCCTCATTTTCAAAACGAGTCCTCGTGCTGATCCTTTCATAAGTTTCCATTCACATGCAAATTAAACTCATCTACGATGAATATATGAAGTTCATATATTTGAACTGCGGTTATAGATACGTATGATGCACGATCCTCGCAGTAGAGAGCGCTATTTATGCAATAGCGTAAATCAGACCTGAAAAAAATCAGGCCTGTACGGGATTCGAACCACTGACCTCTGCGATACTAGTGCAGCGCTCTA